AATCATATGATACTCACTAATCACTTGAAGTTTACCTAGGGAAAAAGCCACATACTCAAAATGGAATGCAATGGTCACAAAGAGAGAGAAACGCAAAGTCGATAGTTGCGTTTTATTTATCTGATTCCGACATCGGAATCAGTTTGATGTGTCGTTTTATTTGCAACTTTTCCGAATCCGGTTGCTACTTTCCATTCCGTCTCACTACAAGGAATGATGTGGAATGACTGTTGACAGGTGTCATAAAATCAAATTAGATTGACCAAAAACGAACCTTTTTGAAAGAAAAAGACATTTAGAAGACATTTTCTGCCTGAGTTCCACTAGTTCATGATTCTTTCAAGTAAGACAGGTTTCATAATATATGTTCATTTACAGATAAAATAAACTCTGTCGATCTCAGAGAAGTTTCTTGAATCACCACAATCACTGCTCCAAATATTAGTTGATTCATTTTCTAGATTCTTAACTCTAGTATTATGCTTATTTGGATCTTCCATATACAGATATAACCTCTAAAGTAAATTTTCTCAAGCAAGGTTATGATGTTTCTCGTTTTATTTGTAAACGTCAGTCTGTTCCCACCACCGCTACCAGAATGGAACAAATAAAACGCAACTATTACCACATCATACTAGTTCATAAAATGGAACGAAAATGGTAGATAACGAGAGACAAACATCTACTTTCCTGATAGCTATATACCACGCAGAACAGTGGATTACATCCTCCCGAAATCTATGCGTAAAAACGAATAAAATCGCAAGTGTTTCCTTCCCAAACGCTGAGCTGCGCTTGAGTGGTTCAGGAACGCTGACTACCTGCAGACCGGTTTCGAGCTGTTGGCTCTCATCAGTACAGGGCTGTCCCAGATAGCTTCTTTACCGCTATCTGGTGTGAACCTGACCCAACGTAAACGCATCTCGAAATGAAAACGCGAACGCCGAACGCCACCCACTGAACGCCACCTGGCAAGGAAAGAAACACTCCAAAACAAGATCCCATTTCAGGTGAAATGGGAGTGGCTGGTTGCCCGACTGGCGTATTTTCAACTAGGGAAAAAGCCAAATACTCAAAGTGGAATGCGATGGTCACAAAGAGATAGAAACTCGAAGTCATTACCACATACTAGTTTATAAAATGAACGAAAATGGTAGATAACGAGAGAAAAACAACTACTTTCCTGGCTATATGCCACGCAGAACATTGGATCACATCCTCCCGAAATCTATGCGATAGTTCGTGTAAACGAATAAAATCGCAAGTGTTTCCTTCCTAAACTTAAAGTTTATGTAAAGTCAGTTGGAACAACACATCAACCGCAGGCCGTCGGTCCCTTTGAAGGTTCAAAGAGAGCGGCAGCGCGTTCTGACATTCCTGAACTGTTTTAACTAACTTTGCATAGACTATACTACAAAGCTGAAAACAATCGGATAACTATGTTGTTACAATAATGCAGTTGTCATTCATTTCACGGACCATTCTACTATTGACTACCTACATAAAAGACGCAATCGTTCCATTTAAGGCGCCAATTCTTTAATAGAGGCATGCTTCATCGACTTTTCCCCGCATCACTCCGCATGATCGAAATTACCCCGATTGATGGTGGTTTGACGGTATACAGAAAAAGTTGCACTGTCACCGTAAAATGGTCAAAAATAGTAGCATATTAAAGTCCATTTTTTGAATAGAAGTTGTTCATACATTATGTAGGCTTATATTGAATTATTTGTTAGTGTGCTTGTATTTTATATGACTATTCGTATACCCTGCTCTGATGAGGCAAAAAGATGTTATTAATGTGTATAAACTGCATAATGTCTGAAATAGGTAGGTATTCATTCAGATTCTATCATACTAAAAGAGAAAATGAGGCATGAATGAGAAGTTCTTTGGAAATTTATGTCCTCATAAACTCTTGATTTGCCTTAAAATATGGAGCTATTTTGATTTCTGTTTGAAAATGTCCCGCCGTAATCACGAGCGTAAACATATAAGTACAGTCAGATGCAAACAACATGTCGCGGTTGGATGATGGTGTAGGCCGTAGGCGCTCTCATTGCAGAAGTGATCAGAAGTGCTATCACCGCCCATGTGCGACATGTTCATTGTATCTGACTGTACCTCTACATGCACAGGCCTTATTTTTTTATGTCGTACCTATCACTATTGCCATCTAAACGGTGAATGACACGGAGTTGGATGAAGTAGACAAAAGTTGCGATGTTCTTCAATCGGAAATATTACGAACCGTTTTCAAAATACAAAAGCAAAACCGGAATATCTGGTTGATACTTTCCTCTTCACGCTGGCACCTTTATTTTTTGGAATATAGAAGCAAGATAGTGACAGATTTTCAGATGTGATTCCACCCAGTAAGCCTTCTGGAGGGAATTATTATCTGTAGGTATATCTTGATGTTGATGGAATATATCGGGTGACACAGGAGACACGTAACAGCCTGTAGTTTTTTTATTTAAAGAGGTAAAAATTTGAAATTCACAAGGGTTGTATAATCGATGATGGTGCTTCCCTTGAATCCAATGACAATTTCCGTCAACCACCTGTTTGATTGGAAGTAGACCCTATTTTTTTCAAACGGCACCCTGTATATTTCTGTAGTCTATCTTATTCGCTTTGGAATTCTCTATTCAACTATATGTATCACGATTTGATATTCGTTCATTAATTGGCTGTTAAATTGCATTTTATTGAAATACATGAAGTTGGCTGTGGTCCGAATACAATGACATTTCAATGCTTGATAAGCTTAAAAATCCAAAGATCATCAATAAGACGATATATTATCATCATTCTAAAATGACTCACGATATTAGGACGATACATAAATTATTATTACATCAATTTCAGTTTCGCATGTATCCAAATGGATGATCATAATATCATGGCTACATGGCGAAAATAAAAGACAAATAGTTTATTGACAAGTAGCCAAATGAAAAATACCGACTTTCTATCTTAGTTTTCTCAATATCGTGAGTTATTTTCGGATAATTTTTTTAAACTCAATGAAATTATTGGCAATTTTCTGGGGCTGATTAGGACATGGAAAATATTCTGATAATATTGTCTGAGGCCGGCGATAAAGTCATTGAGCTGGTGGTAAAGCTAATGTCACTGTCATATCGATAGAAATCTAGATTCCAATGGTTTCAATTAATGCAAAATGATTGGGAAAATATATCTGAATTATACATGGAAGAGGGCTTACGAGATTTTGATTTTTCTAGAAAATAGGCAAGAAGCACACTTTCAGTGTAGTTCTTATTTTTTACATCATTTCTGTCGCACCAGCTTACGAATTCTTCATATACTTTGTCGTATATTTTTTTTGATTTACTTGGCAATAAACTCGATTTTGCTTCCTCAGCTGCCTCCCTAATTTCTGGTGGAGTACAATTCACACTTTCTTCATCACTAGAATTCATTTTGAAATTGACAGTTAATATGGCTACTGGCCTATTAATTCCTAGTTGATTCCATACTTCTTGATTAATTGTATTTGCGATATGGATACAATAAAGTCTCACTGCAACCGTGATGTATTTTTATTGTGCTTGAGGGGTGGAGAGATACCTACATGAGTAATCAAATATATTATACAGGTCGTGCATAAAATGTTGTATGTATTTCGGGCGTAACTAGCTTTTATGGACCTAGGCGTGTTAATAGCCCTCGCTATCGCTCGGTCTATTACTTACACGCTGCGGTCCATAAAAGCCTATTTTACGCCCTTGATACATAAATAACTATTATTTCTATCCCCTCTGTATAAGCTTTCATGGTGCCAAAATTCAGTATGGTTGGAGACTGAGAAAGTCCCAAGATTTCAAAATGATTCTAATTGGGGTTATTGATTCAATGGAAGTCTTGAAAACACCTACATTAAACTTGTCAAATCGAATTTTCATTGTTTCCTCAAAAACTAAGCTAGATACAAAAATCACACAAATGATAAAAAAGTTGTTATTTCAATAGTTCAATCTAATAAAAATTTGGAAAACCAGTGGCGTACGATGACATTCACCATAAATATCGATAAATTCATCCACTGTGATACCACTGGAATTATTATTCCGATTCTAATTGCACCAGAACAAGCCTCATATTTACTATTAACAAAACCACAACATATTATTGAAATTGATAGAAAGACAATTGAGTCATGAATAAAAAAACGAATTTTCATGAAAATATGAATACCCTGTATCTCGAAAAAAGTGAGGACGTATGTTCATATGAATTTTATTTTCTAAAATATCACAAAGAATCACCCCTTGATGTTATTCAGATACACCCTGTAGAACTGAAATATATTTCCAGGGTACTTGGAACAAGGCCTCCTAGTAACAGACCCCAGGAAACTACGGGAACACTACCTCCAAGCAAAACGCTGGCGCACCGACCTCCTCTCAGTGCATCTCATATATGTATATATTTGAAATCAGAAAGAAAAACTTTATCGACATGTCAGAAAATATTTAGGGTGTTCCTTTGAAAAAATCAAAGTAAATGTTCTTTCCGGAAAAACGAATGACTCTGTATATGAAGCAACTTCACGAAATAAAAGTTTGGGTCGTTTCAGCCAACTTTTTGTTTCAACATTTTTTCACATCTCTGAAGACAAAAGAGTTACGGGGGGGGGGCATTTCGAGATGCGCACCCTGAATGTCATTTCACCATAAATATCGATAAATTTACCCACTGTGACGCCACTGAAAATATTATTCCGAATCTAATTGCACCAGAAGAAGCTCCATATTACTATCGAAGAAACCACAACGTTTTATTGAAATTGATGATAAGACAATTGAGTAATGAATCAAAAAACGAATTTTCATGCAGATATTAATACCCTGTATCTTGAGAAAAAGTTAGGACGTATGTTCATGTGAATTTTATTTTCTAAAATATCACAAAGAATCGCCCCTTCATGTTATTCAGATACACCCTGTAGAACTGAAATATATTTCCAGGGTACTTGGAACAAGGCCTCCTAGTGACAGACCCCAGGAAACTCCGGGAACACTACCTCCAAGCAAAATGCTGGCGCACCGACCTCCTCTCAGTGCTGCCAACCGATCTGGCCTACCTCTGGTGGCCGCCCTTCGAATGTCACAAAAAAGTGCCGTGTCCAGTGATAGTGCGACTGAACCGACTCTTCAAGCTGCCCAGGCTGTGGGAGTGGTTCGAAAGGACAGAAACGGACACCAACTACCCGAATGTGTTTAGGATTTGTAAAGTGGTGTTGGCCATCCTGGTGCTCATACACTGGAACGCTTGCCTATACTTCGCGATCAGTTACGCCATCGGATTCGGTACCGATAACTGGGTGTATAACTTGGACGGACCTCATAACTCCACGTTGGCAAGACAGTACATTTATAGTTTTTACTGGTCCACGTTGACGCTCACTACTATCGGTGAAACCCCAGTGCCTGAGAACGATGCTGAGTATCTGTTCGTTGTCGCTGATTTCTTAGCTGGAGTTCTCATTTTTGCTACGATTGTCGGTGAGTTTCTACTTTCTCCCAGGCAACCAGATGACGAATGATCACGTCACTGTGACGTCCCTAATTGGTGATTTTCCGTCAGAGACGTCACACACTAATTTATGACGTTACTATGACGTACTTCCTATGACGTGAAAATCACCAACCCATTATACAGGGTGTTAAAGTTGGCACACATTTCTTGTTTATTTTTTTATCTCTGTTGAAACAGAACCTAGAGATTTGAAATTTGGTAAGAACTTTTCTAGCGACAATATGAACAGTCTTTATCAATAAAGGAGACTTAACTACACTGTAATTGTTTTCATGTCCACTGATATGGAACCCTAGAGAATTTATCCATTGAGACGCTAATGGTGAATTATAGCTGATGAAAAATGATCCTTATTTATTCACCTTACTATCAGCGCTTCATTTGTTTCGATATTTTTCTTAGTTTCCTTGTTATTTGAAATTAATGTTAATTAAAAATATCAGAATTTGCCATTGAATAACGCCCTATATGATAAATTGCGTTCAAATTTCGTATGGAGGTATTTTAGCTACACCCAAATCGAATAGGTTAGTCAATTTTACAAAAAAAATGTCTAATAGTTGTTTTTCGAAATGATGACCCTTTCAACAAACAAAAGTAGGCCTTGAAAATCATGAACATTCCAGATTTTTTCCACATTTTCGAAGAGAGCGGGTTGAAATCGCACACACCGTATACTATATCTAGACCACTAATATGTCATATCCCAACGACCAGAAATAATCAATTGCTAGTTTTCAAACGAAGGATGCAAATTGTTATTCATGAAATCGACCCTTGTCACTAGGTGTTCGGAAACATGAGTAAGAGTAAATATGATGGATGAGGATGAGGACTGAGGACCCAAATGTGTTTAGTTTATATAGGGTCCAGTCGTTACCACCCTATTATGAGGTTTAACGGTTCAACTATCAGCTGGTGTTCTCATTCTTGTTGGTATTGTCGATAAGTTTCGTTGAAGACCTACTAAAGCTTGGCCGTGAGGAAAATTGTAATATTCATCGGCTTCCACAGCTTTCCCAATTCGATCAAAAGTTACATGAAATTAGGACAACCAATATTTGTTTTTCTACTCACATAACTAAAATGGCATTTAGCGTACGGATTAGTACCACGCTAAATGATCGATTTATCACGGATCGACGATCTGTGATTTATTAAAAACATTAAACACGTTACCATGGCAACACGATTTCTTAAACACATTACCATGGCAACACAGTTCATTAAACACAGCTTCAGTAACTTGAGGCATGTCTGGCCTGTCAATTTTATTAACTATAAACTGTTATTTTCAAATTTTGTATCAGAATTATTCAAACAATATTCGTTTGAATCAGAATTCTTCATTAAAAATATATGCGAAAAGTAGACGAAAGTGAAATCGAAGAGAATGTTCTGGTACTTGCATATCTCCAAGAAGTGTAGAAATGAAGCATCCATCTTTGAGAACGATTTATTTATTTTGCGCTAAGCATGACAGTGAACATAAATCAAAGGTTAGTAAGCAATGGACTAGACACATCTATCACTGGTTCTCTCGCTGGTTGCATGCAGATGCATGTATTATGTTCTCAATTCCCATTCCTTTCGAATTATTTTGTAGGTTAGCAGGAATAGCAGGTATGTTGATGTAATTTTCGGAGTTCGTAGAAAAAGCATAGGATGTAACGCGTTCATAAACTCTTCTAGACACTCGTTTATTGAACACGCGCTCCGCTCTGCTCCGCTCGTGCTTAAAATACTCGTTACTAAAAGGACGTTTATGGCACTTGTTACATAATATACTATTGTTTACTGTATAAATTTATTAGCCCACAACAAGAGAACAGACACATCATGTTTTATACAGAACAGGATGTCCGGTAAACCATGGATCATACTCCAACTGATGATAAACAAGTTCTCACCGGTTCTCACCTATCTAACAATCACAACTTGACCTCAGAAAATACCTCACAGTTTTCGAGACATTGGAACTTTTACAAAAAAAAAGTATTTCCTATTTTCATGTTCCAAGTAAATGAGGAGCGTTTTATGTAAATCCTTATTTTCGACAAATATTACTGAATAGAAGTTGTAACAATTGCAGTAGGCAGATTTTCGATAGCAGTCATTCACATCAGTCTAAAAAAAAACCCAGAACACAGTTTCGTAATAGAAAATCATGAAGGATCCGAATCGAAGGATAATTTGTTTGTAGACCGTAGACAAAAAGCAGTCTGCCCATACTAGTATATATAATCAAGGCCATAATTGAGTTCTGGTAGATTATAGAGAGATCCTGGAATGATGCCCATGATAAGTTAGTTAATACATTATAAATCAACTCTCATGAAGATTAGCTATGGCATATAAATCTTGTGATAAATTATACAAGATACAAGTCAGTATAAACTTGATTAATCTATATCTCACTCCTATAACTTAAAGGCGTAAAGATATGTTTGTGGCCTGGCTGAAAGTTCACTTCGCTGAGTTTCAAAATGATCTGATGTGTTCTTGGAATCCCTCTTTGAACTTCGAGCCGAATTGAATTATTCAACCTTCTCTTATTTCATTCAGAATCTTATTGCAATAACGTTTGGAAATGGCTTTTCATATTCAGTTTTCACCCTCGTTTTCCAGTTTTCCACAGATTATAAATGACAATGGTGTTCAACATCATGCTTTCAGTAATGTGATATCATTATTCTCCCTCAGTCTTCTCGAGATTATGCCATAAGGTCTCCAGAATATAAAGGATGCAACGAATATTGATTTTATGATAAACTAAATTACGCTATTTTATTATTCTCTTGGCTATAATAAATGTTTTTATTACGCAGGCCAAATTAGAGTTATTGATGTCTTTTTTTATGAATGAAGATTATTTCATGAAAGCCATATACGTACACATAAATGTCGTTGACGACACCGAAAACCAACTCTCAACTGGCAAAAAATTCTAAATATTTTGAAATCCATGAATACTAAACCTCTCATTCTGAAAGGTAAAATAAATGCATCGTCAAAAACAAGTTAGCCATATGATTCATGCCTCTAATATTGTGTATTAATTGTGGTTGTGTTCAATTACTAATTACTAATTGTTGAATTGATTTTTATGAAACAAATATGTAAAACAGTTTATTCTGTCAATAACATTGCAACTCCATGATTTGTGCTTTATCATCTTAATTACATCAATTTTTTCTCGTTATCATCTAGCATGATTTTGAACTAGAGTTTCGATGTGTCAGTTTCTTAATTATTTTCACAACCCACACTTGAAAAGTTGCTTTTGAGCTGTAATAAGAACTACAGTTCTCAACACACCAAATGGACCACTCATGATTTTACTCTATTTCGAAGACCTGTATTTTTTTAAAAAATTTACCGATCTTCATGCGGTTTTCGATATCAGATGTGATGTTTCATCGGCTTCAAAGAGAGCTAGAACAATCTGAAAAAGTCCGCAAAACAAAACTCACACAGGGTGTAAAGTGCAACCATATTACACTATGGTCTACATTTCCAATGCTGCCAGAACTCGAGAAATTTTTTTCTGATCAAAAGTCAGTCATATTATGATACACTGGGACCTCATCTCGGGACGTTTTCGTGATTTCTCCTTAATTGGCCATTGGAACAAAAATTCGATTTTTTTTCGAAAGTCTTGCATTTCTTGATTTTTTTCTCTAGAACTCCACTTTGAGCTGACTATTGGGAAAAACTGTTCTCATGTTTTATGGAGGATAATGAAAGACGAAAAAAGCACTTTTTTTGATTATTATTATACAGGATGATAAGAAACTAGGACAAAATCTCATTTCAGTGAAAAAAATCAAAAATGGTGACTAAAACTATGGCCCATTCGATCCAGTATATTCAGAAACGGCCTTCTCGATATCCATTAAAAAAATACAGGTCTTCGAAATAGAATCAAATTATGAGTGGTCCATTTGGTGTGTTGAGAACTGTATATGTGGTTTTGAGAACGTATCATATTTCGTTGGTTTCATACGCATCGGTATCTTATGTGTGATTGCATAATATCATTGACACTATTGACAGTTTTTTTCTACCTAGGTAGAACTTCTTTATCAATTCATCATTATTAATCTAGGCTTTCCCCCCTGCTCCTTCCCTTGCAGACGCCTCTTTTTGTAACCTACTACTAGGGTGTTCCCTTGATGTAAATTGACGTATTTGTCATCTTAACAGGGTACGGGCGGACAGATCCTCGTCGCCTCTCACTCTAAAGTTATATAGTTCCATCTTTATTCATTGCTGGGGATAAAAACTAGATTTCTGACATTTCTTGTTTTTTAGGTTATATTTAGGACATTGACGTATCATACGTAATTTCCACATGTAATTTCTCATTTAACTTTACATATTAAATCCAAATGATGATGATAATTTATGAGTTTCTGATTCTTTAACTCCAGCATAATCTTTGTGAGGCAGTGAGCAGATTTTTTGGAAATTTTAATACGTTTTACCAAATGGGACTGTTCTTGGGCAGTACCTATCAATAAATTGATTTTGATTTCAGGTATTTGAACTAATGTGTCCATATGTCATGTGTGCTGTATATATTCATGTTGGGAATCATTTGTGCAGTTTTTCACGAACACTTAATATTTCCTGTAGGTATAATTTTCCAAATGGTAGGGCATATGCCTCTTCTTTCAATCCTCCGTTTAAATCAAAACTGTTTCTACTAAACTGTATTCAGAAACTTTTGGAGTGGATAATTATAGGCACAATCAGAAAGTATAATATGTGATTTCGTATCAGTTCCACCTCTAATATTTTGCTGATGTATTCACCAATTTTCCCCATTCGGTCACTTCACTTTCCATGTTCGAAGTTCATTTGCATTTGATAGAAAGCTGACAAATTCAAATTTGCCATCCAACCGATTGATACAGCCTAACACAGCATTTTTTACCATCCTTCCAAAACAGTAGTTAATAATGTCGTATTAAAGTATTAAGATAAAGTATGAAATTAAAATTTTGTAAGATCTCTTTCAACGCCTATGAATCTGACGTGACAGCAATGTCATGTCAGGGACGCCAATACAGGAAACTAAGATCACGAAACCAAAGTCACTACTTAGATGATTAGAAGAGAAAGGCGAAGGAACCATGAAGAGGAGATTAGTCAGAGGGTTGCATGGGTATAACATTCGCGTAGACGTTATATAGCGCTGAAAACTCCAACTTAATTACAGAACGGACAATCTGGGACCGATGGGAAGACAACTAATACATTTATCATCATAATTTCCAACACTCAGAACATCATTTTTGTTCTTACTGTTTTGTTTGATGGCTGCTAATAGAGATGGGTGCAGGCTATTTTTTTTTGTTTTACATTGGGTGCGATCACATTCGGAGAGGGTCATTTATAATAATTAACCTAATCTTCAATCGGTAAGTTGTAAGGATCATTGGGTGATGAATGACATTCGTTGTGGATACGAGTTTGTGTTTTTGCTGATCCTATCAAAATCAAAACATCATTTTACGTCAGATCGGTTGTATCCAGAGGTGGCGAAGTGCTACAACTAAAATGCCAATTTTTAGTCATATTTAGTCATTATTTTCATTTTTGAATTCTTTAATTCTTTTGGGAAGAAGAACCATGCAACTGAATAATTCTTCGCATGTTGATGCAAATCACGTTGTATATTGATATTTTTTCTCTCTTGGACCGCACGAAAGGAAATTCCTATAATATTCGTGGAACATCGTGCGTACCTAGGGAGGATAGGGAGAAGAGGTAGGTGTTGGGGTTTCTTCGAACTGTTGGAGGTTATATATAGTATTTCGACACCTGAAAAGCGAATCAGATGCCGACAGGCCATTTTCATTTGATCGTTAAATCAGGAACCTCGATATTTCCATTTTATTGGTCTATAACAATATAAAGTAGAACAGCCGGTTCAACAATTTTATTTTTCCAACTATAAAAATTTTCAATACCAGGGCATCAGGGGATTTTGATATAACACTGTGTGTTCTCGATAAGAGCACTGCTGAATCATAGGGATCTCGCAAAGGTCAAGAGATTGGAGCATCGTTTTTGAATGGAGAGAAAGTCACGTCTTTAAGGCTTTGAGAAAGCAATATAATGTTATATACAATATTACAATTTTTTGCCACAAGTTGGTAATTTGTAGTTTTGTCTCAACTTGAACTACTCTGAATCTCTAAATCTTGTATCTATGGTTTCTAGATTTTTATGCATATACTCGCGAAAAAAAAATATAATCAGAAAGTAGCTCATTATGAATATCTCATTTTGCTTGACTTGGTTACTTGTTGGAAACAGTGGCGTAACTATATCGTTAGAGAACCGTGGAAAATTCATAGGATGGGCCCCCTCCAATATAGAGAAGCTGCACCAACAATTACGTACTATTCTTCACTGCCATATAGTTCATCAAAAGAGTTTGGACAAACAGTCTGAATTATAATTCCTGACAGTTATGTCATCCGCTGTTGACGGCGATTACGCGATCATGACTGGCGGAATAAACGAAAACTGTGCGATGTACTTACTGTGCGTAAAGAGCTACTTACTGAGGCTGTATCTCGTGTGTTCTTTCCTACTTCCTATAGGATATAAAATTTCAGAGGTCAGAGGGGCAGCAAAAATTGAAAAGCCTACTGGCGGCAAATTTATAAATCCGCCACTGCCTGAACGTATTTTAATTAATACCAGGGGCGGATCCATGAGTGGCATGGGGCTATGGCCCCCTCCTCGGGAACCTCATGGAAATGTGAAAATATAGACGCGACCCACACTAAATATATAATAATAATAATGGTTTTGCCCTTGGCTAACAGGGAGAATCCTACGGTTTCCTCAGTGGATGATCATTATAGATCCTTCACCTATGTGTACCATGCATCAATAACACACGAAAAAAAAACAGATGAAATATATCAATGTGTGAGAAATATACTTGAACAGTTTCCGACCATTTTTGAGGTGAATGGTGAACAAACATTTGTTCCCTAACATAAACATTCTTCTGGACTGTTGCCTGCCTGTAAATGTTGCATCTTCTGAAAGTGAAAGGAGTTTTTTAGCACTCAGAAGGCTGAAAGACTGGATAAGATCCAGACAGATTAAATGTCTGAATGTTGATGATATCATTCGAAGATACGCTAGTCAGCAGAATAGAAGACTGGAATTTGTTATTTAGTTTTAGAAATTTGATTCTTTATTTTATATATTTTATATTTGTCTGTTTCATTTGTTTTGTTTTTGAAGAGGAAATTTTTTTTTACTTTCGCATACCCAAGTATTTCAAGAGAAATAGTTTCTTATTCACTTTTTTCATCCAATATGATTTATTGCAGAATTCTACATATTATATTGATGGTTTGAATCGAATAGTTTGAACTTGTTTTTTCACACCATCAGTGATTTCGATACTAGTATCAATTTTTTAAATGAAAAAGCATTTGTCTCAGAAGGTATAACCATATAATTTGTCTTCGTGCTAACCTTATCGAGCCGTGACTTTCTATGCCCCCCTCCTCGAACATCGTCTAGATCCGCCCCTGATTAATACCTATTTGATTTAGGATTGTATTTTTACACAAGTACCTATGTATATATATAATAATATAATAATAATTAATCTTTGGTAGAAGTCCATATTGCTCAAAGTGGAGTGAAATATTTCACTTTTTTTTTTGCCCTTAAATAACGCCTTCATAAGGAAACGGGGAACCCCTTTTTTAAAAACCCGCTAGTTTATGGTGTTGTCAGATAATAAACTGTTTGACAATACCCTTCATATACCATTTTGGGTATATGAAATGTTCTTTAATAAAACATAGTATACGCTCTCAGGGCACGGGGCCCTTCATTTATTGAGAACCCGTTTATTCAGAATTTTGGAACTCTCGACTATGGGCATTGACAGTTCAAGGAATAGTAGCATTTAATAAAATTTTCAATTTTTTCAACTCCAAACCTTTCAATTAGGCTGAAGATGGTCTTTTATAAGACCGAAACATATCCCTCATGATTTAGTTAAAAATATCATTAAAATTTGTGGAGATGACTTCAAGCATTCCTTCCTTCCTGTATAATAATAATTCATTCACAGAAAAAAAAGGGGTAGTTACATGAATTATAGAACTTTAAATGTAAGTTGTTTTTTTTTATCGCTTGGAGCGCACGAAAGGGAATCCCTATAATGTTCAAAGAACATCGTGCGTTCCTAGGGAGGATAGGGACAGGAGGTAGGTATTGGAATTTTTTTTGAACTTTTGGAGATTATATGTTGTTGGGAATACTTCCACAGGCAATGAGTTCCAGAGCCTAGCCGTTCTATGTACCAGTGTGTAGTTAGTCCCTTTTAATGAATAAATGGATTCAAATGGATAATGGATCTAAATGGTTTCCAGGCAACATCGGCTCCATGATCTCCAACATGAACGTGGCGCGCGTGGACTTCCAGAACCGCATGGACGGTGTCAAGCAGTACATGGCGTTCCGCAGGGTAGGGCGAGAGTTGGAGGCCCGCGTCATCAGGTAAAGACTATTTCCGTATGTACAGGGTGTTTTCAAATTCGACCGACAACGCTTGACAATAATTGATAGCCCTCGTGATTTCATGATCACATATACGGTCTTCAAGTGTTCAGTTCTCGAGATACAGGGCGTTGAAGTTAAGAAATAAAAATAGTTGTTTCGCAATATCTCAAGAATAAAAGAATATAATGCGTTCAACTTCGGTATATGGTTTCATCTTTGAATGGGTCATTTTTTGACCAGGAAGCCATTCTGGACATTTTATCCTACAGGTGCCCTACAAGGGGTTGTGGCAACTTTCCCTCCCATATTTTTACGCCACTAATTAACTTTCGATTATTCCCAATTCCTCGAATTCATTGATCAATTTTGTTCAGAAAACGCATCACCTTTAACTGAGCTGAAATGAACAGTTTTCAAAATATTCTACCCAGAATAGAAGATTGCATAGTAATATTTCATCATTTTCAGTAGTAGAAAATTGCAAAAATATTTATCTGGTGTTGAGTAGATTAGAAACTATTCAGATCCCATTCTATAGCTGAACAGGAACAGTTATTCTACACATAAAGCCAAAACATTTTTTTTTAATTTTCTACTACTGAGAAACTCCTATTTTGGGTCACATATCTCGATAACTGTTCATTTTAGCCTAGTTGAAGGTGATGCATTTTTTATTTAAATTGAAAATAATTAAAATTTCATCAGTGGCGTAAAAAATATGGGAGGAAAAGTGATCACAACCCTCTGTAGCGCACCTATGGATACAATTCTCGGAATGTCTTTCTGGTCAAAAAATCAACCGTTCAAAGATGAAACCATATACCGAATTTAAATGCATTATATTCAATTTTTCTTGAGATATTGCGAAAAAACTATTTTAATTTTTAAACTTCAACGCCCTGTATCTCGAGAACTGATCACTTGAAGACTGTATGTCCCTATCTCAGTGTTTATGAAATCACGAGCGCTATCACTTGTCAAGCGTTGTCGGTCGAATTTCGCAACACCCTGTATATACCAGTGGCGGCTCCTCAGAGGAGGCAACGGAGGCTGAGCCTCCTCAGAGATTTTCCTTAAACTGATATTATCTATACTTTCTCATTAAAAGGACACCAAAATACGAGCCAAAATACATGGATTTTGATTTTATTCCCTGTTTTTAGTTAAATATTTTTGAATTGGCAACAGTGCTTGCTCACGCATCACACGTTGAAGTCTGCAAATCACGCGTAAAATATTCAACTTGGCAACATCTATAGGAGGCTAGACTCCTTCACCAATGCGCATCCTACGCGCGCAATGCAAATGCCCGAATACGCCCGAATAGCACGTGTTTGTCGTGTCGCTTCGCGAATTGCGGACATACGCGAGTGCAATGAGTGCATTGTTTATGTTTATGTTTCAGGTTAATGGTCAGGGGCTCTATAAATTTCTGAAAAATGAGTGTTTTAAACGATTGCGATTTAGTGGAATACTTTTTGGTGAACCCATTCAGTGCTTTGTCTTATGAAGATAAATTGATTGTGAAAAACAAACGTCTGGCACCGGAATTGAAAAATCTGATTGTACAGGTAACAAACAAAATCGTTCATTCAATTCTGATAATTATGAAAAATATATCTGGCTGACGGGATCTGAGGTAAGGAATAAGCTATTTTGTTGGTACTGCGTATTATTTTCAACCGATAAATCATCATGTTGGGGGCGATTAGGATATAATGATTTGAAAAATTTGCCCCGCGGATTGGATAGACACTACAAATCACAGGAACACATCTCTTCAAGTATTAAATTCAGGTTAACTGGTAAACAGAATGTCATTAAAGCTATTGATTTGGGTGAGTAGAGAGTTGTTTTTCACAATAAATCTCATATCATTCAGCCTCCTCTGTCATGAATGTCACGAGCCGCCACTGGTATATACCGTCATCTGATAAAGAAATGATATATCGCTCACCGGCAACAATAGTGGCACATCACAGAAAAATATAAAACACGTGGAACAATTTGAAATTTGATGAAGTTTTATCGATGAATACTGGCATTAAATTAGTTTAGACAGTCTTTCCGTAATGACACTTGTCCACTACGAGATACCACGTGCTGAGCCCCCTAAGTTGCATCAATACCGGTGTATTTTCAGTGTGCCGTTGACACTCAATCGTAATGTTTCAGCAATTCGCGGTAGCCAAGGTTATCATTTGACGTTCCGATGACATAAAAACTACGGGAAAACATGTCTAACTTTCGATCCGAGCCAGAAGTTAGGAATGTTCTCCCGTAGTTTCATCGTAACGTCAGAGGATGACCTTGGCTACCGCGAATGGTGACACATTTAGGAAGAAGCAACGATTTCGTTTCAGCAATAGTGGCACATTTTTAGATATGCCACTATAACTTTGTGTTTTATGTTATTTTAGTTAGTATGCCACATTTTTTATAAATATATATATACACTGTGTCCATAAAGTCACCCCCCCCTGGTTAACTATTGAACGGATAGGATTTTTTTTTCAATTTTTTTTTGCTTCAATGTTAGTTTCAGTGCAACATATTGTTCAAAAAAAAATATGTATCCTCCAAAATGGCGCCTGAAGATGTTTTTAAATGGAGTGGGGAGTCGAAAGATACCTCGATTGAAAGGTCTTTCGATTCTCTATACAACCTCAGAATCTCAGAGGAAAATATTCATCCAAAACAAAATGGCGGATGATAAAGTTTGAAATCTCACACCAGAATTCTTTCGACTAGATGGCTATTAAAGTGCTCGCATGTGATCTTCAAATCTCTATTGGCGTATTAGAAGAGTTCTCTATCTATGAAGATATCAATAGGAATCCATTTTGAAGAGAATAACATGGTAGTCAATTATTACCTTTGCTCGATTGTCTTTCCAAATTCTGCAAAATTTTAGAAATATTTATTCAACATAAAGAACAATGTTTATTCCACGTGAATAAACAAAAATCAAATCAAATGTTCGAAATGTCCACCATTCACTTCTTGACACATGAAGAGGCGATTTTGGAATTCATGTTTTACATTTCCAAATATTTCAGGCGTAATATTTCTACATGCATCTGTTATGCGTTGCTCCAATTCATCTATCGTTACTGGTGATGTTCTGTACACTTGAGATTTGAGATGACCCCATAAAAAAAATCTATCAGGTGAGCGACCTGGCAATTCAATAGGACCCCTCCTACCGATCCATCTTTCAGGAAAATTTTCATTAAGAAATGCTGTTACTGGCCCATAGAAATGAGGAGGCGCTCCATCTTGTTGAAAAAAAATATTCTGCATATTATTTCCAGCGACCTCTATTATCTCTGGATGAATATCTTCTTGCAGCATCCTCAGGCATCGAACTCCTTTCAGATTTTTATGATAGAGAACTCTTCTATATGCCAATAGAGATTTGAAGATCACATGCGAGCACTTTAATAGCCATCTAGTCGAAAGAATTCTGGTGTGAGATTTCAAACGTTATCATCCGCCATTTTGTTTTGGATGAATATCTTCGTCTGAGATTCTGAGGTTGTATAGAGAATCGAAAGACCTTTCAATCGAGGTATCTTTCGACCCCCCACTCCATATTTTTTTTTAGAACAATATGTAGCACTGAAACTACCATTGAAGCAAGAAAAAATTGAAAAAAAAATCCCATCCGTTCAATAGTTAACCAGGGGGGGGGGTGACTTTATGGACACAGTGTATATATATTATTGGTTACGGTAATTTCTGATATATTTCGTTAAAGCAATCGTATATCTGGTACTATTTTGTTTCATTTGAAGATAACTTGGAAGTACTCATTGCACGTTTCATTAATTTCCATCAAACCTGCATAATTTATGCATAATTATCACAGGCAAGTCCATTTATATTATTCAAATATTATTACAACACAAGGAATTGAAATAGCTCTAACTTCAAACGGAGTTTTTTCCATAATATTCAATTTTGAGTTGTGTCCGAGGTTGTGTCACTATTGTTGCCGGTGAGCGATATGTTCCAAAGGCATGTAAAATCATTGTATTTTATCGAACGGCACCTGTGCCAATCACTATGCTGAGCAAAATGAAAATTGGCACTTTGCTGTGCGGTAATTTGCATTCAATTTCGTGATTTGGGAATGAGATGTGGATTCTGCTATCCGATACCAATTCAATGGTATATCTTAAAACCCTGTCTATGCTACCCCTTAGTCTGAATCAAATCCACGGCACAGCGATTTATTTGCTGCCGTTTTTTCCAGACAAACTTCCGTCATGTGATAACGAGTTGAAACAAAAATCAATGAAAGGGGATTATGTCTCCTTTGCGAATATCCAAACGTGCCGCGATTCAAACTGGGCTAAGTTAGTGGCAGAGCATCAATATTCCCAAGAATATTTTGCCCTTGTTGGAAGATAATATCCGATGAACCAGTGTAAAACTCAACAAGTAGTTTAGAATACTTATAGTGCGAGCACCACAAGAGTTTTACACTGGTCCATCAGATATTAACTTTCGACGGGGGCGAAATATCTTGGAAATTGCAAAATGGACATTCATTTGCTTTTTATTTCAACTTGTATCATATGACGGAAATATATCTGGAATAATGGCAATTGATCACGTGGTACATGAGGCCCTTATAGGTTATAATAGATCACGTGCTAAACTGAGGTTGTGTCTTGTGTTTTGGTTGTTGAGTTATATATACTTTTTTGACTCGTTCAATTTGTTATATGAAGTGTTATCAATCTGTGTGAAAACAGTAGGTAAATGAATACCTATGTATTTTTCTTCGACAGAGTATTATCCTCATCCTCAGAACAATTAGGAAATAATCAACTCCCTTACCAATAAGCAATAATAAGTACTTAGCACAGATCCATGTAAAGGCACCCGTTATATTGAATAAAAAGGCTCATTTTCTTGAATTATTTCATTTATTTACTACATCATTTATAACATTCATAATGTATAACTATCATAATAATGGCAGTTCGTCAACAAATGATAAAAAAAGGATGTAGGCTTTTTATGCTCGTCTGATAAATGATCTCTAAATCCTTCATTGCATCGAAAGGAACTATTACAATTTTTTCCAATCATTTATAATTCGACTTCGACACATCATAGGAGACTTACCTACCTTAGATTACGCTTATGTATGTTTCTAGTGTTTTTATTCAAATTAGTTCGTGTAGGAAATATTCGTTCACAAACAAGACACATCACACTCATTTTCGAAGCGGCAAAGTGCAAACCGTGCAACCAAAATTCAAACCAATCAAAACACAACCGAACTTCAATTCAGCACGTGATCTATTATAACCAATATCGGCCTCATTTACCACGTGATCAATTGTAACCAATGAGATTTGGGAATGTCTCCTAAGCTCTAGGCTCTCGTCACAGAATAATAAACAATTGAGTATTCTGTGCTCTCGTGCTAGTTTCTAGGACACGAAGACTGACTCTTCTTGCGTCAACAGGTGGTTCGCGTACACGTGGGCGGAGAGCGGCGCGCTGGACGAGGAGCGCGTGCTGTCCGCGCTGCCGGACAAGCTCAAGGCCGAGATCGCGATCCGAGTGCACCTGGACACGCTGCGCAAGGTGCGCATCTTCCAGGACTGCGAGCCCGGCCTGCTCGAGGCGCTCGTGCTCAAGCTGCGGTTGCAGGTGAGTGGAGGCAGCGGCGCGCCCATAGTGCCCATACACATTACACACAGTGTTGCCGACAGCCAATTTTAAAAGCGGCTAGTTGGCTAAGAACGGAAGCGCACCGTTGGCGAAAATTTCTTTTAGCCATTTTTTGACAAATCTAGCCATTTTTTGCAATGTTTCTATCAAAAACAAGAAATCTGACCATGAACTACGATTGACGTATAACGTAATGTGTTGACGTCATTGACGTCAGCGTCAATTTGTCAAAATGGCATAAAGTATGGAGTACAAAATCCATAGAAATACAGACTGGCCTGAATTTGACTTTGATTAGATTTGTTTTTTGCTCTTGTTCCCACGAAAAGGGATATTCTGTAATGTTCAGAGAACATCGTGAGAACCAAGGAACATAAGGTGGGAATTGGTGTTCTTCTTAAATTTCTGGAGGTTATTTCGGGGAACACCTCACTTGGCAATGTGTTCCAGAGCCTCGCTGTTCGTTGCATAAACGAGTCTTTGGAAAGAGATGTTCTGCAAGTCTCCAAAGTGACCACGAAAGGGTGCGAAGCCTCAACTCGACGGGTTAATCTCGCGGGGACTGCCAATGGAGGAACAATCGTTGATATTTCAGAAGAGCATCGTCCATGAAAATATCTATAAAATAGGGCCAGATCGCCAACTTGTCTACGGTGTTCCAGAGAAGTGAGTGAGTTCGCGAGCGAGGCATCACCCACGAGACGAATTGCCCTTTTTTGAACAGAATCCAACAGTTTCAGGGTATGTTTGGGTGCTGCACTCCAAATATGGGAACAGTGTTCCAGGACAGATCGGATCTGTGCGTTATAGATCATATGCAGCTGATGGAAGTGAATTAGCTCCTGAACCCGAAACAAAAAACCAAGTTTTTGGGATGCACTTTTAGCAATTGATCTCACGTGATTTTCCCAAGAAAGGTTATTGCTGATAGTAATACCAAGATCGTGAATATAATAAACTATCTATGGAAATTTCAAGAATATGAAGATATTTTTATAGAATGTCAGAATAACAGAAAAAATGGCTAAATGGCTAGATGGCTAGATGTAATTTTCAGTATAGCGAGATTATTTCAAAAATGGCTAGGGCTAGTCATAAAATGGCTGAGTTGACAACACTACATACATCATGAATACACATTTCTGCGTCGCCTTTGAAACAAATCATTAGCTATTCATAGAGGGTGACAACGAAATCATTGGCCAGGGCGTCATTCAGTTGTTTTGTGTCGAAGGGTTCCTCAAAACCATATTTTCCATGACTATTTCACTCTTCTTCTCGAGAACCAATCAGAATCGACTATTTTCACGTTGTCTCTTATATCACAGCGATATTTTTCGTTTACTAAAAATTATCGGACTTGCTCAACCAATACAGAAGCTGAATCGACCCACACGTGATTAACCAACCTCGTTTTTCAGCGATGAATCAACTCTTCAACAGAAACCGCTATTTGATGACGACGTGAGTCATTTTGAAATCGATAAAAAAAGGAAGCACCTTTTTTATCATGTGTATTATCACAAGTGATACTATTTTGCTGGAAATATTCGGCGATTGTTACGATAGCTTGTTGCCAAATAATTTCGCGAATGACATTGTTTATCAAAGCTTTCGAGCCGTAGGCGAGAAGTTTTGGATCAATGTCATGAGCGGAATTGAAGCAGCAAGCTGGAGTATGTCAATTGACGGATATTTGCAGAAAAAATAGTAGTTATATTTTGTATAGATATTAAATTTTCAATTCAACTTTCGGAGATTATGAGTTATTGGAAATACTTCCTCAGGCAATGAATACCTGAGCTTTCCCGTTCAATAGTGCTATAGGCTGGTATTGCCAGTTTGCCAGTTGTGTAATGATAACAGAGATTGCTGAAGAACATTTCCCGTGGAGGTATCTATAAAAAAGTGAAAGGTTGCCGACTTTGTTACGGTGTTCCAATGATGTCAAAGTGTTAGTGCTAGGGATAAGATTGTTATATGGTGGATTCAGCTTTTAATTATGACTACAAATATTCATTATTTTGATTTTCAAAATGACCACTCTTTGCAGAATGCATATTTCTATATTTTTTCTATTTTATCATAAAGAAAAGTGCTAATAGCCTAAGGGCGATGGCAGCTCTAGTCAAAGACTTGGCAAGGCAGTGCGAAGGACACCGCGCCGTTGTGACCAATGACCATACGAACAATCAGAACAATACATTTATTCTTTTTTTTTTTAATTTTATATCCATTCATCTATCCCCCTGTATTCATAGACAGACATCCAGCAGGTATCGAAACGGTAACAGTGGCCCATTATATCTTTGCAAACAAAAGTGACTTGTACGTTTTATTGTTGCACGAGTGTCTGCCTTGCCTTTTAAACTTGCAAGAAGTTATTTATCATAAAACTACAATATCATTAAGTGGCGCCAAAACGTGAGACTTTATCCTTTTAATGGATCCATAAACAAAAACAATTTTCACTATGCATTCAATAACTGACAAAAGAAGTTGCAGTCCCACAGTTTCTTTCGAGGGCATCATGAAGATTCTCTGCATCTCATTCACGCTTCATGCATTATTCATACTGTGAGAAATACTTATTGAAATGTACCTAGAGGAACGAAAGTTATATAACCTATCCAGCGATACTTATCTGAGTAATATTCATTATTCTCAGCTGAAAACGTACAGCTGCTAGGTATTTTGTTTCCAGTGTTGATCAGAGATGTGAATCGTGAATTGTATATTGGTTCATTTCAAACTCTGACAATATGCTCTAGAAGGAAAACCTGAGGAGAAACTTCCGCCTAAACTGAAAGTTGAAATCAAAAAGTTTCCTAAAGTCGGACCCTTTCGGCGATATTTGCCCTTGAAGGGAACATCTGAATTTTTTAGTTGATATCTTCTCAACGGTCTTTCCGATTTGAATGAGATATTGGTGGCATGGAATCTGGACTTTTTTAATAGTGCATAAATAATGATCTATAAGTTTCATCATCTAATGTCGCCCCTCTAAATAATTCAGAAGGGTTCCATATCAGATGACTCGAAATAAATAACACCCGCGAGTAGCTATATAACTTCGATGAATCTATATCAATTTGGAATACTCATACAGTTGTTCCAACAGAGGAAAAAATTCAAAACTCGAACACTGAAAAAAAAGATGGTAGTTATTACCAAACGTTTAGTAAAATAGGCGCCAGTCACAACTTTCATCAAATAATACCACTACAACACTATATAATACCAAACTATGAGTATTATACTATTTTGTAGCGGTATTATATAATGTTGTAGTGGTATCATTTGATGAAAGTTGTGACTGGCGCCTATTTTACTAAACGTTTGGTAATTACTACCATCTTTTTTTTTCAGTGAAGTTTCAGCTAACTTTAACCTCCCTTATAGGAATTGAAAATCATGTCGAAGTTAAACAAGTTAAAGCTGAGACACACTACCCTGTATTGTGGGTGACAAACCCCATGTGTCATTGGTGAAAAAATCTTGAATCATTAATGATTTCGTTTCACAACATAAGAAACACTAGATAGCCTGATTTCCTATAGTGTCCAGCCACTACTTACAGTACAAATTCCATTCTCCCTCCAAATCCACAGTTATTTTCGAAACTACCTGAATCAGACATAGCTTGGGACTTGTTATGGGCATATATTTCAAAATGGCTAAGAATATAATTTTTCATAAACGTGCCGTATTATGTATAATTTGGGAGGTCTGTGAAAAATTGTATGTATCTTTCGATTTCATGTATAATTGTGTATAATCTATAGAAATCAACACTGTTGAATGTAGAAGTGACATTTTCGGTCACGGATCGTAAAAATGAAAAAAAGATTTTGTGAATTGTTCAATTCAATGTGACAGTAACTGAGTACATGTGTTCTGTGCTGCAACCACTTGGCACATAACTAAAGAAACCCACAGAATGCAAAAGTTTCAAGGAACATGTCATATTGTCATTGTTACACTTTCTAATGTTCCATGTTCTTGCCATTTCTGAATACGTCATACGTTAAACGATTTGTTTTGTTGTCATGTTATCATGTCATTTATCAAAAAAAAATCAAATATTTCATAATCATGATGGATAAATCGCTCGATAATTATGGTAGTGCTAGCACAGGTGGCATATATGTTTCATGAATAGGTATTATTCGAAAACATTAAAACCCTCATCTATAAATCATCTGAGGTTAGTATCAGCAATATCAGCGTTGAATGGAAATACGTATAATCGCTAGTAGAGAAGCAAAGAGAGATTCAGATCACATAGGGCATTACGTGTTGGGAATTCCAAATCATGATTTGGAAATCCCAACAGGTAAAACCCTATGTGAGTTGGAATTCTGCTGTTTAACGTAACGTTAACATAATGTGTAAACTTCCATGTGAGTTGGGATGGTAGGTATGAAATGTTTAGCGAGGCAAGGGTTTTGCCTGTTGGAAATTCCAAATCATGATTTGGAATTCCCAACACGTAAAGCCCTATATGATTTGAATCTTGCTTCTCTACTATCGCGTTTTTCAAACAAATCTGATTCAATGGTGTATAAAATTCGTATATTTCCAAATTGGATGTGTATAATTGTGTATAATTATTTATAATTTTGGTCGGCGTCATGATTGTATATTATGGTAAAACGATCGTGGCAACACTGTCTGGAAGTTCTATCGTTACCTAAATAATACTATAGTAGGTGGAGAGGGGGTAAACATCGCATATGATAATGACATTGAGAGGAGGTAGACCAATGATACTTCTCAAATAACTGCAGCACTTCTAATAGACCTTTTCTCCCTCTAGCAAATAATTTTCGATGAATAATATATAGTTCAACCCCAATCGATGATTTTGTTCCAGGTATTCTCTCCAGGAGATTATATATGTCGAAAGGGTGATGTCGGCAAAGAAATGTACATCGTGAAGAGAGGAAGACTACAGGTAAAGTCCTCAAACTTTAATGTCCGATTAATATTCACTCATAATCTCCCTAGCAGCAGAATTATTGCCGAAAATATGTATACCAGTCGTTTTTAATCAATCAGATGCTTCATTTCGACATTATTACTATGGTAACCAGCAAATATTGAGAAATGTTTCATCCACATGAGCAAGTATAGACGTTAAATTAATAACTGGAAATTGTCTGGCACATGACAGCTATCATTTATTTGGACAATATTGAGAAATGTGAGAAAATTATACGATATCAATTATTTTTCTATAATAATGTATCTATTACCATAAATTTTATTTTACTAGGGTACAGGAAGAGTAAATATTTACTTGAAGTTTTCTTTTTAAATATAATTGCGGTATAACATTTTCTTACCGAACTCCCCACGTGCATGAATTAATACGGGAAATTCGTTACGTACATGAATTTTCAAATTTTCAAAGAAAATTCATGTACCTACTCAAAAAATTTCGACAAAAACATGAGTGATACCGAGAATTCGTGCATATATATGCTCAAAATATTATTTCTCTTCATTTTATAGCCTAGCGAAAACAATGATTGCAACTCAATTGAATATAGACAATAAAAAACACAAAATTCAAAATATAACATACCCACCTACTAAGTAACAATACAATGTATGATGAAAAAAATAAGAAACTCTTTCTAGTACATATAATTACTACATACTCTCTCTCGTAAAAAATACCACAACACTACAATTGACCTCCATTCTGTTGGATACACATTCTTCCCCTCATAGAAATGTAATTTACAGATTTTCTAATGACATTTGGGTTATTCTTCTCGATAGGCGTTTTCTATCCTGTCAATCAGGTTTTCTCTACTTTTTATGGAAGTAGAATAAACTTTGAACTTCAGATGACCCTAAATATAGTAATCCACAGGATTAAAGTCTGGTGATCTTGCAGGTCAATTGATAGGACTAGAGACTCTGCCTATCCACGTATTAGGAAAATTTGTATTTCACCACAATAATTCTGTAATGCGGGGTAGCATCATCATGTTGTGAATACAAACCAGCTACGTCTACACGTGCATCTCTAAATAACTGGTGAAAAGTTCCGTAGACAATTGAAGTAAACTTTGCCAATCGGTGTTTGAGGGAAAATATGGGGGTCCAAATGATTCATTGTCATGTATACTGTGAATGGGCTTCTTTTTATAGCATGTGGATTTTCTATCGATCATGAGAATTTCTTAGGTTGAACAAACCATCTCTTGTGAACTGAACCTTATCGGAAAAGAAAGATCTACGTATAATTCATCGGTTTCTGGTGATCCACAGGTTATGGGGTATATTTGGGCCCAAACGATTTCACACGAATGGACGTCATTTTGAACAATTATTGTAGTGTTGTGGTGTTTGTTATGAGGATGAGTATGTATAGTAAGTGTACTAGGAAGATTTTTTCCTCTTTTTCATCATTTATTATATTGTTATACCGGGTGGCCACGGAAGTATTGCCTACGGAATATCTCAGTTATTGTATGAAGTAGGTTTGTGAAATTTGAAGCGTCGATATTGTCACGACCCATGGTTACAGGGTGGTGACTCGGGGGTGAACTCGCTTGGGAGGCCGAGAAATCAAAACAGTTGTTCGTTATAAAGCTACAGTTTATTGAAAGAAATTAGTTTCATTAGTGATTTTAACAAACGAGATTCAATGCAAACGTAAATACATCAGACTTCGCAATGAAAAGAAACATTTAATAGTTTGACAACATAACGATTGTGACAGTAGTACTTACAAAATAATCTCTAGCAGATGCAGGGGATGAACCATAGTGAAGGTTAGCTGATCAGATCCAAACTGATGCCTTGCCTTATCGGCTGTTCGATATTTATTTAGAATATTTTGATATAGTCAGCGTTTTACTCCGTATGCGGGTATTTCATTCCGGTTGAATGAGCTGCCAACGTGAGTGAAACATTATACTCGTTTCCTTTAATCGAATGTTTTACGATAAAATGAATAATGAACTTTTATTAATGAATCTTGAATCAATATAATTTTGAATAGTGGCTATGAATATTTTTGGTTCCTATCGTGACATCCCTGGCACCTCCAAGAGCTGGCCCCACAGCTCGAACTGAGATTACTGAAGACAACAAATAATCATCTGAAAAATTGGGCCATTTAAAGAAGATATCCATATATACTTATATCATCCTGAAATTCGATCTATCCTCTACTAGATATGATATCGTTAGCTATAAACAAAAAAATAATAATAATTTTCACCCAACCCAATATAATTCCTCGAAGGAAAATCGAAATGAACCTATATAGAATCATTATAGTAATCCTACCGATAGGTGTGAAAAAGTTGAACAAAAAAAGAAAAAAACGCTTAAATCAGTCACAAAAATAATAACATTACAATAGTACGTTTGTCTACTGGAAAGATTAAATTAACATACCATACTTATTGAATGAACCTACATTATCGAAACCTGCCCTAAAGAAAAAATGAAGTATCCATCATGTGAATCCTGACCTATCCAAAAAAAAAAACACAGAAAGTCGAAGCTATAAGTTTATACACTGACTCAATTATCTGGTTTATTTCGGAATCACCTTCTGAGTCCGACACTGTCTTATTTGCAATAACACAGAAAGTCAAATTTATAAGTTTATACACTGACCCACTTTGGTTCATTTCAGAATCACCTCCTAAGTCCGACACTGTCTGATTTGCAATAATAAAAAAGTCATTTCGGAATCACCTCCTGAGTCCGACACTGCTTTATTCGCAAGAGTTCTCGCCTCGGTACTTGCGAGTGTGGGTGGCAGACTCTGCATTCTTCCCGACTTCGAATTCAGGAATTGCTGCGTATGCAAGTGACAGGAGATGAAACCATATATCGCACGGCTGTCTTCCATATTTGAATTGTTTGTTGTAGTGACCTTTATACGCAACCTCCATATTACGTGGGTAAGCTGAGTTTGCCGTCTCGCTTATCATGGTAGTGAGTTCCTACTGGCTTCGGTGAACTCAATATTTCTGTGTGACAACTATTTTATGGTTGTTTATTAGTACTATTACCCCAGGTTGGTGGTTAGTTCTGCATATTATACCATCCTTGACTGTTTGCCGAGTTGAACAGTCATGTCGTGAGTTTTCGGCGTATGGTAGGTTGCCGGGTTAACCTCTCCATTCAATATTTCGATGTTATCGCCGTCAGTTCATGGTGATCCTTTCTTACTCAGACGTGGAGGTGTTTGCTGTTGCATGGACCAATTATTTGTGCATCTCGTTGGTATCGGGACGTACGAGATTGGGGTGTCTGCAAGGGTAGCAGCTACAATGATGATTGAACCAACAAGCAACCATGCTCTCTAGCTGTCAACGTGGTAGATGCAGCAGACCAATTATATGTGCATCTCGTTGGTGTGTTCCTCCATCTGCGGTTCTTTGGGGGTACAATGTGAGCAACTTATTTTTCGAATCCCTTTTTTTTGAGATATGTCTTCTAACTTATCCACAATTTTCTTGAATTTCCTCCAGGTCAATTCGTCTTCGTCCAAAGTGAGTCGATAATGTACGTATAAATCCTCATTAATTCCATTTTCGAAAAACTTCCTGAATTCTTCAATATCTAATTCAGGGTCATAGTCTCCAAATAATTTAAGGAGATCGAAATAATACTCTCGTATAGACTCGTTCTCTCCCTGTTTTCTGTTGTATAACTTTCTTTCCAGAGTACGTTTTATATCCCCTGTGCCAAATTCCTCTAGAAAGTCCGTTTTAACTGCTGCCCATTCCTTATTATCATTTGCGGCGTCTCCTTTATAATTTTCAAACCAATGGTTCGAAGCACCCTCCAAAAATGACTGAAAATAAGCAATTTTCAGCTGATTATTCCAACCATTTGCTGCACTGGTTTTTTCATATTGTTTTATGAATGAAATAGGGTTGTCCGTACAAGGGTTGAAAGTGGTTGGGCATAGAAAATTTGGTCGGGCTGGTGTTTTCTCAGCGTCCAGGCTGCCCCTCAAAGTTGTGTCTGCCATATTTGGTTGATTGTCTTGGTTAATCTGCAATTCCACTCGAGCTTGAACTAAGTTCGACTCGGCGTCCGACTCGACGTTTGAGTTGTGTACGCCTTCCGGTCCGTGGACTTCGTTCTCACTACTCTGCTGTTGTGGTTCTGCAAACCGTAGTGTGTTTCTCACTGCCTCCAAGTCAGTCTTCCGGTGGATATTTCTAATTAGTACGTTGTTTTCAACAGTTTCCCTATTCTCAACAGGAATATTATTTGCCTTTGTTGGTAACGCCCACGCTCCAACCGTTTCGATTATTGGTGATCTGACATTCTGGTCTTGTAGGTCCCCACTTCTGGTCTTGTGCTCTCCTACCAGTGGCCTGGCGTTCCCTCTGCATCAATTTGACGCTGTCCTTGTGGAGAGGTTGATAATTTCGATTTCTTTTTGAAAGGGTCTGGATCGAGTTCGTCAAAAATAACAGTACTGTTGTGTAGTATATATTTGGCAACACTGTATCAGGGCCAGAGGCATAGTTGATATACATTATGTTGATTTTGAGAGTCGGGCTGGAAAGACACAGGCCCATAACGACCTCTGCCGAAATTTGTGTCCCGGAAATCACTGTATTTTGATAGTACATTACTTCTGGGACTCTGGAATCCTTTGTGAACAGCATTGACAGGTAGTGTAGTAGCAGTCAAGCTCATTTGTGATGATTGTTCACGTGACATCTCTACCGAAATACATTTCTTCACTGCTTCATCTAATGTGAGGTCATCATCTTGCAACAATTTCTCACGTAAAGACACGTCTTGAAGCCCGCATGTAAATAAGTCCTTCACTAGGCTTTCTTTCAAATTGCCAAACTCACAGTTTGTTGATTTATTTTTCAAATCTATCACGAACTGTTCGATACTTTCTCCAGGCATTTGTTTACGTGTGAAGAACTTGAAGCGCTCGTACGACAAGTTTTTTTTCGGCAAAAAATAATCGTCGAACTTTTTCAATATTTCATTCAATTTCGTATCTTCTCCAGCTGCAAAGGTGAACGAATTATAGATGACAAACCCTTCCTCTCCGATGTAATGTAATAGTTGGGCGATTTGTGTAGGCTGTTCCTTTTTCTTCATTTCCGAAGCCACTAAATAATTTTCAAACCGCTGCCTCCACATCTTCCAATTTTCCGCCAAGTTGCCGGTCATCGGCATTGGACTTATTCCTCTAAAATCTCCCATTTTCAATTAATTTTTCACTTCACGTGAGTGTTTGACTTTCACAGCCGTTCACTGCTATTGAGTTACGTTTTTGTTACTTTTTATTTTTCGGTACTCTTTTTCACCGACTGCGCCATGTTGTATATGTTAATAAAGGTATGTTAATAATACGCGAGTTAAAGATCAACTAGATTTATTACCAACTCAACTATGCCTCTGGCCCTGATACAGGCCCTGATACAGGCCCTGATACAGAACCAAAACAATAATTGTAGAGAGACACTAATGTGTCATGAAATACCTGAGAGGCCCTGGGCAAAAATAGGGTGTGATATTCTTTATATGGGTCGAGAAATGTTCCTTCTAGTGATAGACTATTATTCAAAGTGGGTTGAGCTTCTTCCATTGACCCAAAATGCACATTCCCAAACTGTTATTAAACATCTAAAAATAATGTTTTCTAGATTAGGAATTCCATCAATTGTAATAAGTGATGGTGGACCCCAATTTGATTGTGTACATTTCAAAAATTTTGCTAAAGAATGGAATTTTAAACATATATTCTAACTAGCCCCCGTAATCCTCAATCAAATGGCCAAGTTGAGAGAGCAAAGCAGACTTTCAAAAAACTCATAGGTAAAGCGTACACGGATAAAACAGATTTAGATTTGGTTTTATTGAACTATAGAAATACCCCTATAGACAGTCTGAAATACTCGCCGTCTGAATTACTTATGTCTCGGAAGTTGCGTGATCTATTACCAATCACTAATGATCAACTACAGCCAAAACTTATCAACTATGAGAAATACAATACAAAAATCATCGAAAAACAGCAAAAACAGAAACATTATTACAACAAAGGAAAGAAGAATTTGAGTAATTTGAATTATAATCAGAAAGTCAGGTTTCAAAAAAGTCCTTGTTCAAGTTGGTCATTTGGTAGGATTACTGAACAGATTAGGCCTAGAACTTACAAACTTGCATCAGAGAATGGTGGACAACTTGTACGCAATAGAAAATTCATCGAAATTGTACCTGATAATGATCCACCAACAGAGAATTCACCAGTTGACAAAAGTACAAATGATGACTTGGGTAACGGTATTGATGTAGGTCAGGGTGTAGGTCCTTGTACCAGCAGTGGTAGATGTTAGAAAACCAGACAGGTTAACATATGATTTTTTCAAACAAAATGGGTAATGAAAATTAAACAGTTATGTTTATACAGTATAGTGTTCAGTTAAAAAGGTATAGGGTATAGCTATAAGGTATTATTATCATATCATTATCATATTACAATTTTATTTGTAACAAATTATATAATTAAGGGAGATGTTGTGTAGTATATATTTGGCAACACTGTATCAGGGCCAGAGGCATAGTTGAGTTGGTAATAAATCTAGTTGATCTTTAACTCGCGTATTATTAACATACCTTTATTAACATATACAACAAGTACTACTACCCGCTGGAGTGAATGTTTCGTTTCCTATGATAATTTTCAAATTGCTAGGTTTTGCTGAGGCTCGTGTGATTCTTTTTTCTGGTTTATTTGACATAAAGAATATACTAACCGCGTCAGGGTTCGAGATATAGAATAGATATGCTTATATTATGAGATATATTCGTTTATACTCGTGTTTATATCATGTCAGGGTGAAACAAGAATTATGTAAAGGTGAATTGTCACTTCAATATTTATATATTCATTCAATATGTATTCAATTTGCAAAAAATCATACATCTAATTGAAGTCTGAGTGTACCTACAAACTATGAGGTATAATTATTAATGTAGGCTACGAGACTTAAATCATTCCCTCAGAAATTCAACATCTAAGTCCTCCACATCATCATCACCAAATAACTTCATGAATTTTTCCTTCAACTGTGTAATTTTTGATGATGTTTCAGTGTCAGAAACAACAGTTCTCCTACCCACTATTTCATCAAAATTGAATTGTGGCACTTTATCAAAAATTATTTCCGTTCTAGGCGTTAATGGTAGACCAGTTTTTTCATCTATCCTATCTTCAATTATATCCCACCATATTGGAAAATCTTTAGCTATATTTGTTTTATTTGGCACTGTGCTACTCTCTAATATTCTTAATTCTGGAATATCATCTCCTATTCTGAAAGCTCTAGGGGTAAGGGGGATACCAGTTTCAATATTTATTCTATCCTCAACTATTCCTGATATATCTATAACCCTTTTCATACGTCGTTTTTCCCTGCGTTCCTTATTTGCTTTCACACGCCCCATGAATATACGATACGTATTCCATTAACATGCAAAAATTACCTAAACCATTCAAAAATTACCCCTGCTTCACGACTTAGGAACCACACGATTATGGTGTGTACCCTTAAGGAATGTTTTCCCCGCAAGACAAAGTCTCACTAAATTGAGAGGAAATACATTCTTAATCGGAAGTTTAACTCGCACGTGGGTAGATCTCGAAGAGTTGGTCCCTGCAGCCAAAGGCTTGCCAAAATGAAGAGACACGACTCTCGATCTATACGTTTTGAGTTAATACTGGGATAGTTTTCTCTTGTTCACGTACTTTATGCATGTATACAAAAAAAATAAATTGAGTACAAAGCTACAGCTCAACTAAATATATTGGATATAATAGTGCTAATAGATTATAATACTGGTCTATTCTTTAACGCCATCCTCGAAAATAATTGAAATTTATCTGGCTGATAGTCATCAAAGTCATTCTAGTGATGGTGAGAACGGAATAAGAAATCATCTGAAATTTTTTTCAAATTATTCAATCTAATTTATCGACCTCGGCGCCTCCACCATAATGTCACGACCAATGGTTACAGGGTGGTGACTCGGGGGTGAACTCGCTTGGGAGGCCGAGAAATCAAAACAGTTGTTCGTTATAAAGCTACAGTTTATTGAAAGAAATTAGTTTCATTAGTGATTTTAACAAACGAGATTCAATGCAAACGTAAATACATCAGACTTCGCAATGAAAAGAAACATTTAATAGTTTGACAACATAACGATTGTGACAGTAGTACTTACAAAATAATCTCTAGCAGATGCAGGGGATGAACCATAGTGAAGGTTAGCTGATCAGATCCAAACTGATGCCTTGCCTTATCGGCTGTTCGATATTTATTTAGAATATTTTGATATAGTCAGCGTTTTACTCCGTATGCGGGTATTTCATTCCGGTTGAATGAGCTGCCAACGTGAGTGAAACATTATACTCGTTTCCTTTAATCGAATGTTTTACGATAAAATGAATAATGAACTTTTATTAATGAATCTTGAATCAATATAATTTTGAATAGTGGCTATGAATATTTTTGGTTCCTATCGTGACAATATAATGACATAAGAGCTAGAATTTGACTATATTGACATGTCGAAGTTAACTTCCGGTCTAACCAGAAGTAACATCAACTTTCTTATTTTAAATGGAAACCCTATTTTTTTTTTTTTTCGCTTTATTCAGCATTCAATTCCCTTTCTAATGACATATCACGAGTTGGTATCTAACCAGAAACTAGATCAGAAAAAAAATATTATTGAAATTCACCGAGTAGGCCGTGGAAGCAAAATGAAAGCCAAAAATTGAAAAGTTGGCTATTGAAACCATATGTCACTTGATAACAGTTGCTACTACCGTGATATTTTATTTTCATTCGTCGGCGTTATAAAAAGCCGCCAAAAAAAATATTGGAAAAATTGGGAAAAAACAATACTCTGTAGGTCCATAACTTAAATAGGAACATACAACTTTTTCTTGCCTGTACTATTCAACATATCCATTCCTTTTTAATGATATAATAGAAAGTCATTTTTTGAAATGAAATACCAAAAAATCCAATTATCATTCTTCAAATAACAAAACAGATTATCGCCATACGCAAAACTAAAATTAAAAATAATGTGGAATGATAAATTATATCCTGTAGGTTTTAGGTTAAATAGGAACATAAACGTACTTGGTCTGTGCCATCGTCCATAGATATTCTAATATTTACCTATGGACGATGTTTGTGCTATACAGAATAATCATTCCATTGCAATAATCATTCGAACCAAAATATTAACAAGTAGGCTGATTAAGATGTATTTTGGAATGAAACAAAAAAGAAACGAGAGCTGTCACGAACGCTGCTATCCATATTATTTTGACGTTCGAAGTAGTGTTTTTGATTCTGCCATTTTAAAAGGGTTTGGAAATCGAAATCAGTTAATGGAATATTCAAAAAATAATAATATTTCGAGCAGATAATATCAGTATTCAAAATCGTCAGTGCACGAATGAAGAGTACATCGTTAGATAGACATTTTGGTGCTCATTTCAGATATGGCAAAAATCTTTAGAAATACAGGTTGGTTGGACAGTTATGAGATAATAAAGATCGACATGGGCAAACTTGATAAAACATACCACATCTCGGTTGAATGTCGAAGACCCATTAACCATGGGCTTTTTGAAATCACCTCAGTGACCTACGTCCACAGTCGAAGTACCTTTCCTAATGAAACACTCTGTATAATGATTTAATAAAAGTTTCTATAAGATTTCAGATTATTCGAGAAAATTCACCTTGAATGAGTTTATTCCGAAATTGTTTCACTAACTTGTGTTTTCTTTGATTTTAGGTTGTAGCAGACGACGGTGATACTGTGTTAGCTACGCTAGGGGCTGGCTCCGTGTTTGGAGAAGTGAGCGTCCTAGATATAGCAGGAAATCGCACTGGTAACCGCAGGACGGCCAATGTACGATCCCTGGGATACTCCGATCTGTTCTGCTTAGCTAAAGATGACCTCTTGATGGCTTTAGCAGACTATCCAGAGGTGAAAAGTTCTCAAACCCATATGTTTTGATAGAATTTTCGGGTCAAAATAAGAAAAAAATTCATGTCAACATATCTGAAACGATTCGTGTCCGAGATACGGTGTTAATGTTTCTGAAGAATAAAAAACGATTTTCCATTAATTTTTAAAATATGCCTGAACCGATAGTGACAAACGTACCAACCGTATTCACTTCATAGTGTAATTCGAAAAATGTTATATTTCATTGCATATTTTCGACCTTTTATTCATCATTACTAAACAACCACTAAATTCGCAATTATTCAAAATCAAATCACAGAATTAGACTGACAGATATTTGAATACTTCAAAAGAATGATATATAAAGATGCCTGCAAAAAGATGCCTGTAAAACGCAGGTGTTATTCATGTCGATAATTTTCTGATTTCAATAAAATGTAATACCTTCTCAACATCGATTCGTCCTTTTGCCTGTCACAGAAAAAAATAGTGTATTGTACACAGGAAAAATATTAGATTTTAGCTCACGGTTTCATGACTCCCTCGGAGACAACACAACCCGGAGCTAAAATCTACAACTTTTTGCCTTGTATAATGAATAACTATTTTATCTTTTTTTTTTATTCATTACAATATATATCATACATACATGTTCGATACAGATATTTCTACATGTAGATTCTAGATTTAAACATGCACCTAGGTGTAACACCTGTGTGTGCATTATTTTCTAACTCATTTGAATAGCTTTCAAAGATATATTTCCTTTTCTGGAAAACTGTTATTTTCAAGTCAAAACCTAATATATAAACTAATCTCAATAATCACAGGACAGTTTTTTTTTTTTTTTCGAATTACTACAACTATATACCTATACCTATTTGATATCCAGACAAGTTCTGAATAAATTATAATTATTGTTTATGTAAACTCTACACATCTTAGAAAACCTTTTATATTCATCAACATTTCTGATCTCAGCATATTATAAATTCCGAGATAAATTCGGGGGGCTATATTCTTTGCATCATATAATGTTTCGGAACCTGCTCGTCAGTGTCCACAAACAACACAATCAAGTTAACATTCTTCAGGAAGATTATTTTTCAAATTGTATAATTTTCTGAATAAAAAATTGGTAAGAAATTTCATCACGTTTTGTTTTGTTCAAGGCAAGGGCTACTTTAACAGAAAGGGGATGTCAATTATTACGAAAAGACGGCCTACTAGACGAGGATCAATTCAAGAACGCCAAAGAGACGCAAGAATCCATGGCTGACAGTATAAAAAAACTGGAAAGCACAGTGGAAACTCTGCAAACAAGACTGGCCAGGTTCTTGGCTGAGTTCACAGCTAGTCAAGCCAAACTCAAACAGCGCTTGACCAAAGTCGAATCAAGGTAATTTTTCCAGAGTAATCAGAAATTGCGAAGTATACTGGATATCCAAAGTATTGAACCTAGGCATTGTTTTGTGGTGCAACTTGTGCATAAGTACCTATTGTATAAAGTCAGGTGTGTCATTTCAAAACGAATTTTTTGTTTCTAAATATATCATAAACCCCTTTTTACGCGCCACTGGTGTTAATTATCTTCAGTAGAGATATCCTTCGTTGCAGTTCAGATGTTGGCTGTTATTGTTTAACTAAAAGAGGCCACATTTTGAAATAGAAATGGAATTTCACAAAATGGCGATTTTTCCAACGCAAATTATCAAAAAAATTTCAAAGACGCCTCGAGATATTGGACCAACCATTCACCCAATATCTAGAAAATAATTCTAGGGTCCCTCACATTTCCCAAATTATTGGTCAAAAATTTGAAATTTTCCCGGCTCTTAATTCACACTCTGTACAAAGAGAACGAATCGCAAAAATAACAACCTGACGCTAATGACGCATAGCCCAATGATGACGCTTTCTACCTTTGGTTGAAAATCCAACATCGGACAAGAAATGTTCGAGTTATAGCTTATCAAAATAAGTCAATTTTTTGGCTGTCCCACTTCATCTGGTAAGTAGTTTAGTTATCATTATCTTTTCAATTGTCATCTGAATACCTACCGTTAAGTCAAAATAATTGTCAGTCAGTCCTCTCTTTTTAGAACTAAAATATCCAATTTATCCCTATAAATTGTGCACTTTGGGTCCGAATTGGTGTACAAGAAGTCATGAAAATGTTTAATTGGATGAATTTTTTCAATGGTCTTCTTCTACAATCTCATTGATTTTCAACAGTAATCCTTGAAAATATAAATGGAAATACATATTCATACAACAATGGCATGTTCTAACAAAATTTAATACAATATAATGACCCCCAAAATAATGATTACATAACATGCTGTGTCACAAACAAACATTCATATTCGATATGGGGATAGCATGTCCTTTTATAGGCTATTCAAAAGGGCAAAGCATTGTTCATTATTATGATTATTTTTTATACATTTCAACGGAAGCTATATCTATCGCTGTATCTGTTTTTGGATTATCTGAAAAATGAGCGAGTGGACTGATAATGAATTATTGGCATTTATATAATTACTCGTCGTTAGGAACCTAAATTAATTTTTGCAACACTTCTCACGCTTTTTTATGTAGATAATGAGTATATATGCGTTGTTCGAAGTTGTTGAATTCCAGAGCTCATTTCAAACGGACCTTCATGGCCGCCATTTGGCGATACGTCAAATAATTGGTGACGTCAGTTTCTATGCTGTATCGTTATTGGTCAGAAAATCTTCCATTTCCACTCATCAAGCAAGGTTGTCATGTCATCAATTATAATCGAGTTATCAAAGAGATGTTAGAGTCCTGTCGTTTAATCCCAGTTAACACAGAGCATAGAACATTTGTGGGATGAATTAGGGAGAAGGGTACGTTCTCGCGAGAGGTCTCCGGAAAGTCTCGCAGAAATGGCAGATGCATTAGCCGAAGAATGGGATCGTATACCAATGGAAACGATAAGCAACTTAATTTCCAGTATGCCTCGTAGATTAGAAGTTCTTAGAGTTGCTAGAGGAGGCAATACACGGTATTAAGCAGTCATCCCAATTTATGATTTTGTGTTTAATAAAAATGTTTTTTAAAACTATTTCATTAGAAAATTGTTTCTCGATAAATTCAGAAAGTTGGTAATCTGCAAGGATTCAGCAAAAAAAGCTGTAATTCGGAAAATTTTAGAGATAAATCAATGAATAAAAAAACAAAATGGTCGCAAAAGAAGCCTCTTCCGTATAGGGTGGAAAAACTTTCTATGCCATTACTCAATTAACACACAGGGTGAGTCAAAAATTAAGAATAAATCATGGTTCGAGTTATTCCACCACCATCAAGGAGGCTTTGAAAAAATGTTCACCTCTTTATTTTTTTTTTTAGACAAATGCATTACCTACCAACAAATGAAAAAAATATATAAATCGGCCTACTATTATTTGTTTATTTTTTAAGAAGATAGGTCAAATATCAAGTGTGTCACTTTTTGTGGAACTGAGTGTAGTTTGAGAAGATGTTCTTGGGAATGCCTATTAGCTTTTCAAATCGAATAGACGAAAAAATGTATTCAGGAAAATTAAGAAAATATCTCGGATTCACATATAACCTGAAAAAATAGGATGATAATTTCCAGTGGAACTCTTTCCTACAGGACCTCGGTACGGAGATGGGACCATGAATTACATCGTGCTTTTTCTCAAATAACTTTCAAAGTAATCATAAGTAATATCACTATGTTCTGGATATTCATAAGTAATATCACGATGTTCTGAATATTCATAAGTAATATCACGATGTTCTGAATATTCGAGATAATTCTGAAGTCACGTCGTTCACGAAATTGTGTTGCCGAGCAACACCACGAGTCCATCAGGACGAGTGGTATTGCTATACAGCAACACAATTGAGTTAACAATGAGAGACAAAATTTTGAGTTGAATTAGAACAGAGTGGTATTTTGCTAGACTATTTCACGTTCACGAATCATGAAAAGCATTGACATGGAGTCCCTGAAACATGTAGCTTCCTCAGTTAATCAGGGGTCCCTACATAAACTACAAAAAAATGGGTTTCATCTTTTTTTTTTTATTATAAATAAGTGTCATAATTTCGTTCAGTAGATTATGAATATTTCAGTAGATCAGAAGATCAAAATGCAAATCAGTAGATCTCCTGAAGATTCAGTAGAACTGGCGACCCTGTCACGTGCTAACATGGCAATCTGGTGGTTCCCCGATCTTTGTTTTAGTTTTCTGACAAAACCAAACGACGTCGCGAACTTGCAATGATGCCAGTTTGTGAAGCGATGGTGGAAAAGTACATTATATTGATAATATTATCTATCTATTCTGATCTGAAATCACTCCTTGTCTTGATCTTGTCTTGAGTTCAAGACAAAATCAAGACAAGAACTTGAAAATTTCAAGAAGTTGGCGACCCCTAGATGATCAACATAATCTTCGTCACAATGTGGATAAGTATACCTAGAAATTTTTTTAGGCCTGAGAAGGAAGTAGAAATTCCCACCAGAAGCCTCGTCATACCATCCGGAAGAAGAAGATTGTACTCCTTCGAGGTAACGAGAAAAACTCCATCAACTCCGTCAAGACACAAAACCATGTGAGGGGCGTTCAAAGACACAGATCATTTCACTAGTAGATTCGCAGTTTTGGACAGTGCAAGGGAATAAAATATCCGTCATTTGGATTCACTAGTACTAGTCAATGTTATTATTCAAATATTATCCGAAAGGATGCAATAATATGAAGAGTCCCAAAGAACCGGCGAGTGATACATACCACTTTTTCTCCTAGTTTTCAACTATATTCTACAGTAAATGTGAGAAAACCTTCACAAACGATAAGATTTTCACAAAATTCTTGATCCCACGAGATGTTTCGTTTACACACTAGCTTCTTCAGGTGAAATACTAATATCTATACAATTAACTAAAGTTACATTGCACTACACTATCTTTTACCCGCTTTTACCACTAACCAAACTGATTTTTCACACCTCGACACGTGTTTCGCTAACTATGTTAGCATCTTCAGGAGAAGATTAAAACTGAATGCTCTATCGTAGTGCCTCGTATACTAGATATATGTCCACCCAACCGTGAATAGACAATGAAACCGCCATCGTTATTCATGGTTTAGTTCACATGTTAAATTACTAAACTATACCGAGGGCTAAATGGGATAGGTCCATTATCCTTATTCATCACTCTATACTATCCTTGCTTAACTAATTTGAGGTTATTAATATGTGTGTTATGATTGTGATTGAACATGTACTTATTCGGCTACACACGATTTATCTAACCTACCATATTTAAAATGTGATAAGTGTTCTTTGAACCTTGTTTTTAACGGACGCCTGGTTTGGCCTATATATGTTTTATCACAATCATTACAACTAATTTCGTATATTCCTTACATTGGCTTGCCTAACTTTTATATCCTACTCTCCCAATCTGAAGTATCAGAATTAATTATTACCTATGGAAAGGTTCGAAAAACCTTCATTTTCGAAAAGTAGGCACATCTACATTTAAATGGGATATACCAGATTAACTCGAAAGGATGAAAGGGTTGATAGCAAATACATATTAATTATTATACCTACTAAAAAAACAAATTCAACAGCGGTGGATTATTGAGGTCTAGGCTCGGGTCTAGGTGACCGTTAAGTTAACTGTTAGAACGATCAACTAGACCTCAATAACTCACCACTGTTGAATTTATTTTCCTAGTAGGTGACAAATAATATATATTTGCTATCACCCGAACAACACGAGTACGTCCCAGGGACGTCCTTCATTTTCTACGAGGACGTCCCTGGAATATCCTGTGTCGGGACATTGTACATACTAGGGACGTCCCGGGGACATCCGCTTTCCACAAAAAGAGGCATCCTAGGGATGTCCTTCTGGTACGTCCCTGGGATGTACCAAGTACGAAGAAAGGATATCTCTAGGACGTCCCAAGGATATCCCAGGGACATCCCTTCGACAGAAGAAAAAAATGTAGGTCGAGTACGGATCGAACCCGGGACCTTTGGCTTATCAGGCACGCATCTTACTCCATTGGCTATTGAGCTTCCTGAAGATTCATGTACTAAACAGATTTATAAACAGGACTTAACTACAGAAACCTGAATAAATACAACTTTGTTAGGATTTGGGTATATTTATTATATCATTCTTGGGTGTTTAAAAATGCATGTACGATTTCTGTTTGCGAAAAATGGTAATTTCTCAAGAAGTTCTGAAACTTCATTCTTTATTTCCATGACGATTATTTTCCGGAAGAAAAACAAACATTTTCAAAATAATGCAACTTAATACTTTGATGAGATTCAATGACTCTGATGTGAATGGATATCAGATATTCCAGGGACACGAATAGGATAACCTAGGGATGTATCGGGCGGGATGTCCACTGGACAACCACTGCGCGACATCCCCTGATGGATGCCCCAATCATGTCCTTGTACCGCGGGACAAAAAAGGGACGTACCTAGGACATCCCTGTGTTGTTAGGGCAACCCTTTCAAGTTAATCCGTACACCGTATTTTAATACCTATAGATATTGTGCCTACTTTCGAAAAATGAAAGGTCTATCGAAATCGAACCTTTCTACAGGTAATTCTAATCCTTCAGGTTGGGACAGTAGTTGTCCCAGTATTTCACCTGAAGAAGCTATTATTATGTTAGCGAAACATGTCGTGTAATTAAGAGTGGCAACCTTATCGTTTGTGAAGTTTTTTACATTCACTATGGCTTCCCATCAAGTAACGGCCGAGTCATTTCAAAATTATATTCTACAATTCCAAAACTTTCGATTTCCAACTATGCCATCCTGTATATTTTTACATTTTTGCATAAACGAGATCGTTTTACATACACAGCAAACAACTTTTTGGGTAAAATATGAATTCAATTTCAATGGTGACCACAATCATGACCACCATGAATTGTTTTACACTGCTATAGCTTCAGCAGAAATCAGAGCACATTATTATCCATCGCATTATCATAAGTACTATCACGATGTTTTGAATATTCGAGATAATTCTGTCGCTTTATTGTTCACGAGATTGTGTTGCCGAGCAACACCACGATAGTACGTCAAGTCGGGTGTGGTATTGCTGTACGGCAACACAATTGAGTTAACAATGAATGATAGAATCATGAGAAGATATTCAGATCAGAGTGGTAATTTGCTAGACTTTTTCACGTTCACGAACCATAAAAAGCATTTATTATAAATGAGTGATTCATTCTGACAAGTACAGCCATAATTATTTTACATAGTGACCGATAATTATTTCATGCCAAAACCTTTTGCCAAACTGACAAACTTTGCTTTGCTATTCATGGTTACATCTACCCTTTAGTTACGTTTTATTTGTTCCATTCTGGTAGCGGTGGTCGGAACAGAATGACGTTCACAAATAAATGAGAAACTTCATGACCTTGCATGGGAGAATTCACATAAGAGGTTATATTTATATATTGGGGCTCCAAATAATTTCAAAATCGTCATGATACTATAAAGTTATGAATCTAGAAAATCAATCTAGGAATATTTGGTGCAGTGATTGTGGTGATTTGAAAAACTTCTTTGAGATCGAGAGAATTAATTTCATCTTGGAATGAACATTATGAAACCTGTCTTACTTGAAAGAATCATAAGCTTGTGAACTTCACGATAAAAATGTCTGCTAAATGTCTTCTACTCTCAAAAAATTTAGTTTTTCGTCAATCTAATATAATTTTTTTACAAATATCAACAGTCATTCCTCGTCATTTCTTGTAGCGAGACGGAATGAAAAGTCGCAACAGGAATCAGAATAGTTGCAAATAAAATAACGACTATCCATGGTTACATCGTTGAAAACATCAACGCTGATGGACCAATCAGAATTACAAGACAGCTAATGTTTTCGCGATAAGCACACGTTGTCTCTGGCTTGTGATTGGTTAGATTATGTGATGAGTGAAATAGTCAATAGTAATTAATTACACGATGTTCTGAAATAGGAGATAATTTTGTCGCTTTATTTTTCACGAAATTATTGTTACCGTCCAATAGAATGAGTAGTATCGCTGTACAGGGTGTCTCCTTATATTTTGACCCCTACCGAGAGCTTCAACTATACGAGGTGGAAAAAACTTCAAATATAAAAGTACGGCAACACAATTGAGTTAGCAATAAGACAGAATGATGAGAAGATATTCAGAACAGAGTGGTATTTTGCTAGTCTATATTACAAAGCATAAGAAGCATTTATTGTAAACATGAACAAGCCATAATAATAACCAAAGCGATTCATTCTGATGTCTACAGCTACAATTATTTCATGCCAAACTGACAAACTTTGCTTTGCTTTCCATGGCTACATCTTTGAAAACACCAATGATGATAGACCAATCAGAAATGAAAGACAGCTAGTGTTTTCGTCTTGTCTTTGGGTTCTAAATTGGTCAGAATATATGTGAGAATTCTAAGATGAGTGAAATTGTCTCGTTTATTCAGAAATATCCATCGTGGTATCAGGTATGTAGGTATTATTGAAATATCAGCCATCACATTACCTATAACGATATGATACAATTGGATGTTCATCTCGGGACGTTCATCAATTCCGCAAGTGGATAAAAAATATAACATCTGTTTAGAATCATGCATTTATTGACATTCTTCTCCAGCATTACTTCGTGAGAAGAACTGTGCTATGTTATTCGAGGGTCATTGAGAGACACATACAGTGTGACCCATTTAAGATGGAAGCACCCTTATAAAACTTACATTTTTCAACCGATTGGAATGATTTTTTTTTTGTTAGGTAGATATTCAAAAAGTCTATTAGGACACCAAATATCATGAATAAATCTCCATTTCCAGGGCCAACTAATCTGATTTTTCAAGGTCAAAAATCTAAAAAAATTACTAGCGATTTTTTTAGAAAAAATCTGACTACACCACTGGATTTGTGACATTTTCAAATGGGTAACATGTAAATTACGTTGAAATGCGTCAATCAATAAAAAAGTTATAAAGGAATGAAATTTGAAAAATATGCCGTTTAATCAACCCACCAATTCATGTTCAGGAATTTTATGAAAATTCTGTATACTCCACTGGATTCAGGATGTCTTGAATTATTACTGATCACAGTTTCATCGAAATCTGTTCAGTAATAAAAATTGATGGGTTGATTAAACGGCATATTTTTCAAATTTCATTCCTTTATAACTTTTTTATTGATTGACGCATTTCAACGTAATTTACATGTTACCCATTTGAAAATGTCACAAATCCAGTGGTGTAGTCAGATTTTTTCTAAAAAAATCGCTAGTAATTTTTTTAGATTTTTGACATTGAAAAATCAGATTAGTTGGCCCTGGAAATGGAGATTTATTCATGATATTTGGTGTCCTAATAGACTTTTTGGATATCTACCTAAGAAAAAAAAAATCATTCCAATCAGTTGAAAAATGTAAGTTTTATAAGGGTGCTTCCATCTTAAATGGGTCACACTGTATATAAGGCACCATAGCAAAATTTACAGGGGAAACGTAAAATAGGAATAATAATTAATTTGAGAAAAATTGC